TTTCCTCATAGGAGAGTTGCTTYATCCCTCTGATCATCTTGGTGGCCTCCTCTGGCCTTGCTCCAACAGGTCCATGTCATTCCTGTGTTGCAGACCCCASAACCTGGTGCAATGCTCATATGTAACAGACATTGTCACATCACACAGATGAGAAACCAAAATCATACAAACACAATTACTGTTATTACAATTTGGTTTGCTAAATGTTAACCGTAAGTAAATTTCTTTCTGTTTTGTTAGCATCTTTTAAGAAATGCTATGTAAGCCCATGGCATTTAGTTGTAGAGAAAGAAAACTCTACTAACCCAAACTAAATAACTAATCTTAACCACATTCATTTTTGTAGGTAAATTCTTAATATATTCAGAAGGTCTCCTACAGGTTTTACTTTAGCTTTTCATATGCCACCTTGATTTGCTTTTTTCTCTTCAAAAGAGACACAGATATAAACTACTCTAGGGTAAAGACTACTGGTATATTTATTAATTGTATTAAAAATAATCACATGAATGTAAATAATTTCCTTTGAATGTTAAGCATCAATATGTTCATCTTTAAACATTTTGCCATYACTACATTGGCAGTGCCACATATGCACGTACACCAAACACAAGAGATGAAGGAGAACCTGTGCTTCTTTGTGCCTGAGCTGGCACTTTGCTGTCCCAGCAACGCTCACGCTGACAGCACCAGGACACTGCTGCAGCCAGGCAGAGCTGAGGGCACAGGCTGTTCTCTGCAGCAGGCAAAGACCTGCTYCACTAAGGCACAGCTGCCTGCTGAATCCACCAAAGCTTGCATTAATAAAACACTGATATTTGGCTTTTAAAAAAATGCAGATCAGTCTATTTAATGCAAGAATATCATGCTAGGAGGAAAGAAAATCCACATTAGGGTCCTTTCATGAGTCTTTGTTTTTTGTTTCAGTCCAAAATACAGATGTCCTTAGTGATTGTAMTGAAAAACTGATACAACAAAATGAAAGATATATGGTATACAGAGCTTTATTCTTGTTTGAGAAATGCAGTATGATATCAGGGAATTTACCGCAAAAGGTCTCTGGAAAGGAGAAATGAAATTTGGAAATAGTTAATGGATTGCTACATACATTGCAAACTAAAACCCATTTTTGAAACGCACATTTGCACTGTTTTTCTTAGGAGCCAACTGTTTTCATTCTTACAAAAATTACTCTTACTGAGTCAGGCTAAATTTACATAGGGTATTTCAAGGCAAAGGTATAATATACTTAGTTTTTCAGAGTCTTTTAGTTAGGGAAAAAAAAGCCAATCCTCTTAAAACCCCTGCATTTTTATTATTTTTTAATTATAAAAATGGGATTTTTGCAAGACCATGTGATTTTTCACTATCTGATGTGAGCACTTGCTTTAATCCAATAAAGCCTTTGGCTTGAAGGGATCATGAGAGCACTTAAGCAAATGGGGGAATTTTTAAAAATCTAAAGTTGTTTTGCTAAAAAGTATATTTAGATTTGGCCACAATATATTGGCACAGCCCCTAAGCATGGTATCAGCAGATTGGTATAGAAAGTAGGCTGTTCTACCATTCCAGAAGATAATGAAGATTCCCTTATGTCCACTTAATTCCAGGCATGTGACTTATAYAGCTGACAATCTGTATTTAGGCAGTTCCTCTTGTTCTAAAAATCACATATTTAAAAATATTAACAGTTTTTGAAAAAGATCATATGATCTTCAACCACTCTGAACTGTCAAAAATACCCCAAAAATCATTTTTACTTGACAGAGTAAAACTCAACCTTCTGCCACATACCATAAAGAACATCAAAGWATTCCAGTGACTTGTTATTGRAATAGAMCAATCTRCATCTGTCTGACTCAGCATGATACRGGAGGTGTATTAAATTACTGGGAAAATATTTTTGAATGTTAAGTTCTTATTTATTATGAAACAGCTCCCCAGGGCTTGTTCTTTTGTGCTGCTGTGTCATGGGTGTGGACCTGACACCCGACACCAAGTCAGGGCAGGTACACCCAGTCCCAGCAACACAAATCCAGATGAACAACCTTCATCTGGAGCCAGGTCTACTTCCCCTTAACAATTCATCTATACAGACAAATAAAGCACTTTCTTCTTTATTTCTATGTTAGTTATGAATGAGAATTTGAAAAATTCCTAAACTAAGGAAATTTTTTTTGTGTGTGTGTATTAATATAAATTTACTGGGAATAGTATTTAACTACCAAATATACAAAGAAGTTGAGACTGCATTTTACTCTTGAAATTATATGCCAAATTTTCCTGCACTTGTGTCTATGACTGAAGTGAATTCAGCACAGGTTTGCTTGTGTAACAAAGCTGAATTTGGTTTTATTATTCCACATTTGAAACTAGGTAGTGCAAATTGCAAAATGAAACATATCCAGTAGGTGTCATCTTCCTGCATCCTGTGTGTAAATTTAGATTTACTTTTTTTGTAACTGAACTGAAATCAAAAGCAGGAGTCCTAACAGAAACAAGTTTTCTGGAAAGCTTGTGTAAAATGCATACAAATTTGATCTGATACAYCTTACTAACACTAGGATTTCTGGAATGTTTGCAACCTGGAAGTGTTCATGCATAAAGTAATTTGCAGATATCCGTGACTGCACTCACAGGCCCAAATAACATCTGTAAAATATGCCAGTAAATGCATGTATGTAAAACTGAAAATCCATTTAATGGGTTCCATTAAATCCACATGTCCTTAAAGCTATATAAATATGTACTACAGCATTGCCTCTGATCCTGAAGCCTGTACTGCAAAAATAGATTCAAGATCCTCTTTACMGATGAGAATGTTAAATGAAGTTGAAAGGGCTTTGGGAGGTCAGGGAATTCCATTTCCATATATAATGCTTTAAGTTGTTAATTTCTTGAAATTACACCTCATGAATGAATATTTTCATGTGGTTTAATGGGAATTAYCAAGTACTCTGATGTGCTTGATTGACATTATTTTTTCATTTCAAATCAAATACTGTTATTTACATTCAGCAGCTTTATACTTAGTTGAGGAGTAAAATGATTCAGGCAAGTCTGAATCACTGCTATTCAGCCATCTTCAAATGTTTTCACATTTTAAACCCTGACCTCTATTATTTGGTGTGGGGAGACTTACTAGGTCAGAGTTACGCCTTTCAGCAAGTGATTAAAACATGCACTTTGTCCATGTCCATGGATTTTGTAATACAATCCTTTAGCAATCTGGCAACATTTCTGGCTTTGTTAGCTGGGGCAGTGCTTAGGAAAATTCCTATGCAATACTGTTGTAGTCTGATCCAAACCATTTTGGAAACAATAGAAAGGCTTCCAAGGGCTTAAGCCATGGGCGAATGAGGTTCGCGCAAAGGCTGAGCCCCAGCAGGTGAAGCAGGAGGGAGACACTGCTGGGAAATTGCAGCGTGTCAGATGCAAACAGGCTCACAAGCTCATCTCAATTGTATCCTGGAACCGGCTTTTAATTCCCACAAGGGATGAGGTGGGAAATACCCCTGTTTCAGATGGGTTAACATTGTTGCACACTGCTTTCAATTTGATAATTTTTTTATTTAGTAAAAATCTTAAAATCATAGAATGTTAAGGGGTTGGAATGGACCTTAAAGATCATCTAGTCCCAACCTGCCCTGCCATGGGCAGGGACACCTTCCACTAGACCAGGTTGCTCAGAGCACCATCCAACCTTGCCTTAATCACTGACAGGGTTGGGGCAGCCACAACTTCCCCGGGGAACCTGTTCCAGCACCTCACCACCCTCACAGTGAAAATTTTTTTCTTAATGCTTACCTTAAATTTTTCCTCTTTGAATTCATATCCATTGCTGCTTGTCCTATTACTACAGTTCTTGATGAAAAATCAAGACAATCAACTGTCCTTGGATCTGTGGCTTCTGTGACAATGCATGAGGAGGGAGAAAGGATTTGAAAGGAAAATGCTTTTTTTTCCTCTGGCCCTTATCTATGGTTACGCATTTGCTAAGACAGTGTGCATCCCACCGAAGAGAACTGGGAATTCTGATGAAAGCCCGTTAGTCCTTCAGGCTGCACAACTCCCTGAGAGCCCTGGACGGTACCGAGCGCTTCAACATCCCCAGACCCGCGGGGCAAAGCTATAGCCACAGGGAAGAACTGTGGGATGGGAGACACGGAGCCGACCCCTCCCGCGGGGCTGCAGCATGAACACACCTCTTTATGGCTGGCAGAGGATTCCTGGGATGAGSTTGGGCTTTAGGGGCGCTTTAGGGACCGAGGCGCCGAAGCGCTCGTGGGACCAGGCTCACCATCATCCTGCCATTTGAACCAGCGTGTTCCCAGGGGGGCAAGGAGACCAATGCCATCCCGGATTGTAGCAGGAATAGTGTGACCAGCATGACCAGAGCAGTGACTGTCCCATTGTACCCACTGCTGTGGTCACCTTGAGTGTTGTGTCCAGTTCTGGGCCCCTCAATTCAGGATGGACATTGAGGGGCTGGAGCATGTCCAGAGGACAACAGAGCTGGTGAAGGGTCTGGAGCACCAGGAGCGGCTGAGGGGGCTGGGGGTTTAGCCTGGAGAAAAGGAGATCCACGGGGGATCTTACAGCTCTCTACACCCTAAAAGGAGGGTGTAGCCAGGCGCGGGTCTGTCTTTTCTCCCAAGAAATCAAGGGCTAGACGACAGGAAATAGCCTTAAACTGCGCCAAGGGAGGTTTAGGTTGGACACGGGGAAGTTTTTCAGAGAGGGGTTGATTATAGACATTGTAATGGGCTGCCCAGGGAGGTGGCGGGGTCACGGTCCCTGGAGGTGTTAAAGAAAAGCCTGGACGTGTCCCTCAGAGCGGCGGTGCGGCTGACACGGCGCTCTCCGGTCACAGCGCGGCCTCGCAGCCCCCGGAGACTTTCCCTGACCCCACCGATCCCGGCAGGCACGGGGCGGGGCTGCGCATGCGCTCCCTCGCGTGGCCCCGCCCCCGGGCCGGCGGGCGGCGCTGCCGCGGGCGCGCGTAGGAACATGGAGGCGGCGGCGTGGGGGAGCCGGGCGGCGGGCGCGGGGCGGTAGCGGGTCCCGGCCGCCCTCCCTCCCTTCATCCCTCCCTTCTCTTCGCTCCCGCCCCCTCCGCTCCTCCGGCGGCGGGAGAGGCGGCCCGCCTGCCCCCCCCCCGCGCAGGGCATGGCGGCCCCGGGCCCTCCGCGGCTGCCCCGGCTGCGGCTGGGCCCGCGGCTGCGGGCCGGGCTGGAGGTCGCGCTGCGGGTGCCGAGCCTGTTCCTCATCGACGCCATCTTCAACTCGGCCCCGCTGCCGAGCGGCTCCGTGAGCGCCGCGCTGCTGGGCGCGCTGCTGCGGCTGCTGGGTGAGACACCTTCCCTTCCTCCTCTCCCGAGAGACGCGGATCGTGCCCCGCCGGCCCCGCTCACAGCCGCGGGCCCGTCGCGGCCGCCGCTGCTCCCCGCCCCTCACCCGCCGCCTGGCTGCTGCTGCTGTCGCGGCCCGTCTCTTCCCTTCCCCCGTCCCTGATTCCCGTCCGCACCGGCTCCTCTCTGCCACCCCGGAGCCCCTGCTCGGCCGCCCGGGCTGGATCATCACCTCAGCCCCTCGTGCCTCGCTCCGCGCCCAAATTGCTATCTCCCCCAAACCCTCACCCATCCCCGGCTCCCTCCGCCTGCCCCTGTCCCCGTAGCGGTCCAAGGATCCGACGGTGCCTCGGGGCTGTGACACCCCCCCTCCCCTTACTCTGGGGGCTTCCAAGATGGAAAACATGTGACTTCGTGGGTATAGGGTTTTCGTGTGGTTTTCTAAAAGCACTTTGGATAGTATRATGTCTTCCTGAAACACGGTTTTAAAGCCTTATTTTAGCAACATCAGTTCAGAAATGCTGGGAATTTGGTTCCCAGAGGAAAGAGGAACCTCATGAAATTTGCCAGTGGTTATTTGCAAGTTTCTTCTTCTTCCCCGGCATGAAGGATGAATGTCACTGGTATAACTGGGTGATAGTGTTTTCAGTATTGTTATCTTGCATTCTTACATAGCCTGGGATTGGTGGGAGCCCCGTTGCGTAAACTGCTGCACAGGTGATACTGTGCTGTATATCCCAAGGYAGGAACGAGAACACAAAACACATCAGGTTGTTGTTTGGTGTGAGGTTTTTTGCAGACCTGAGGTTGATTTCATGTTTTATTTAATGTTTGTAGTAGAAGAAAAACAGGAAGGAAATAGGTGGTACAGCTCTTGGGGCAGGAAGCAGAGAAGAGAGGGTTAAAGGAAATGTGCATAGTGAGAAGTGTGGTGTGACTGCATCGAACAAGTCAAGGAGCAGAGGGGGAAAAAGTAAGAGATGACCTATAGCAAGACAGCAGGTGAGAGGAGAGCAAATGGAGGAGGTAACAAAACACAGCAAGTGTTGGTTTTTGGTTTTTTTCATTTATTTTATTTTTTATGTTTGTTCTACTGCTTTGATTAAGGGTGCCAGGGGAAGTCTCTGCTCACGTGAGAAGCAATGCTGAGCAGGCCCTGAGTTGCTCCCTTTTCCTGCCGTGCCATGGGTATCCACAGCTCCRGGACAGGGAGCAGGGCTTCTTCCTCCCTGCTTCCCATTTTCTTGACCTTTGGTTCACCACTTATGGAATTGCTAAGAGTACTCCACMCTGATAATTCCTTTTTTAAAAAATGACATTGCAGTGCTTCACCAGCTTAATTTTAGGAGACCTTCATCATATGGCCCAGATGCTGTAGGAAGAGCCTTGGAATTAATCCCAGCCATGGGAATGAGAGTGGTGAACGTGTTATTTAATGATGTCCCTTAAGTGTTTGATACTGGGATTAACAGATTAAACTTTTGAGGTTTGCATTTATATGAACATCTTTTTGGAAGGGGTAGGGGAAGAAGTGGGTAATTTTTGCCTTCAGCTAAAAAGCTTTGGGGATGCTTTATGCCAAGAAACTTACCTTGTACATTTGGCCGAGTCTGTGGTTCTTGGCTTTCTAAAATTGATGAAAAGAATAAAATGTAACCACTTAAAGATGATGTTAAAGACCTTCCATGCAGTTCAGACAACAAAGTGCTTTTGCATCTATTTTTTTTGTCATCTGAATTTAAAGATTGCAGGGTTGGGTTTTTGCTGCTGTTAGGAAAGTGAAATAGTTTTTTTTTTTTTATCCTTCTGTATTTAAATAGTGGGAAAATGTCCTTTTATTTACCATTTGCAGACTTTGAAGTACTGATCCAAACTTTTCCTATAGCACAATATTGTTTAGCATAGGATGAGCACACAACCTGTCCACCAGRTACGCAGATTGGAGCTCAGGAGAGATTGATGGCTTTTGGGGGGTGAATGTTACAGTTACAGTTCTGCAATATTCTGGGAGTACAGTTCTTCAGGAATGCTAATAGAGATCTGTGTCCATGTTACAAAATTTTACAGCAGGATTGCTTGGTCTGACTCTTCCCTCACTTTCTACACAAGTAAATAGAGTTATACACAGCACAGAACCAACTCCCACAGCCGGAGCACATTTTCTTTTTCGTCTTTTTGATTACCTTGCTTTGTCCCCAACGCATTTGCCTTTTGTATCTTTGCATTGGGTTGAAGTATCTCAACTCCAGCAGAAACACCACCCCCAGAAGTGTGTGACGGTCACTTCAGACAGCAGTCCCTCCTCAGTGAGGACACTGAGTTTTGAGAAGAGTACTATAAATGCTTGAGTCTGCAGAAAGATGWAGAAGTAAGTAGAATGACTGGAGCTAGGGAAAATAATTTGGCAGTTCCACATGAATGAAATGCTGATGTGTAAAGGTGATTGCTGCCTGCAAGTGGCTGAAAGTTGAATCCAAATGTAGTGGGCTACTGTAAAGATACTGACAAATTTCAGGATTTAAAGGAATCAAAGAGGGAGACATTCATTGTAACACAAGAAATTATTTTAAAAGTAAGTTCAGCCTGGTTTGGAGACAATACTGGGACRATTGGAAATGGGGTGGCACTGGTAGGAAGAGTAAAAATGAGTGGAGAGACAAACCTTATCAAAGGAGGAACTGCAGCATTTCCTAACACAGGGAAAATGGAAAAAGATTGCTTTGGAGGGAAAAAGGGAATGGGGACAGGATAGGGGAAAGTCTTCTCCTGTCGAGATGGACTAAATGACATAAATGGAGATGGGGGAAAGGAATGCTAACTGCCCTTCTGGGATCTGTTACCTCTTGTACTCTTCAGAGACTCTCCTCCATAAGTRTTAACAGAGATATGATGTACTTTTTGTTAGTCCCTCTTCAGAGGAACCAGTAGGACAAGCTCTATTGACTCACTGTTGTACTGTTTTTAGAGATGTGTCTTGCATGTGAAACGTCAGTGTTTTAAGATGACCTGCAGTATCTAAATACAGGCCTGTTACTGCCACTGCAGGGCACAAAAATAGGTTTGTTAAGGCGTTTCAGAGCAGTCTGCTTAGTGCAAAATGCAGCTTCTTTGGCTCAAATGATCAGAATTACATAAATAATGACCTTGTACAGGCATGTGAACCTTTTCTTTGACTTCTTAGAAAAGAAGGCTACAAACYCATCAGCAGTATTGGCTTTCCCAAAGATGCTTGTGGTGGTTGACAAGGCAAGTGTTAAGCTTATTTTATAAAAAGCACTGCTTATAACTAATATTCAGCTTTTCCTGGAAGAACTGAGCTACAATACAGGGTGCTTTCTGTATAGATAAAAGGCTGATAGAGGTTTTTCCTCAGTCCACTTCACAAGGTTACCAGGTTAATAATTAGTTAAGGAGAACGTGTTTATATTAGCCAGTGGTCCTGGCAGGGAATGCTGTTAAGGTGTATTAATGACTTTATTTGTAGCCTGCCTTTTGCTGTTGATTCATGTTGATTCTGTCACTTCTTCTCAGCCCTCCAGGCTTTGGAGGGGTTATTTTTATATATTTGTGTGGGTTTGGTTTTTGTTGTTTTTCTTTATACAGTGGTCAYGCTACTGGTAGAATCAAATGCTGCTTCAAAGACTTTATTCTCACGATCCAGAGACTATGGCTTAAAATATTTTTTAAACACTTTATTATGGTGGATTTAGAACAACCAAAACTACAATCATCAGAAAAGGCCGATGCTGTCCTCCAGCAGAAAGAGGATTATTGGTGATTTCATTGGTTTTAGTACAGAGGTTGAAAGCAACTTAGAATCAAATACAAATTGTAGAGATTGAAATCTCGCCAAATTGGTTTGGATGAGAAAGCAGCTGCATAGAGTGGAAGTTGATTGAGAAGTCCAAAACAAAAGCAGTCTGTTTCTGAAAAAGAAACGGTTTAAGGAAATGAACTACTGCTAAGTGCCATTTAATTTAACACCTTTTAGGGCAGAGGCCTTACCTATGTAGTACCAGTAATGAAATTAATAAACTACACTACAGAACTTTACTGCAGGGACATGTAATCCCAAACTCCCAATACTGTAATCCCAAACTCCCAATACTGCAGTTGCTCTGATACAGTTTCTCACAGGAAGGTGCAGACTTGCCAGTCATGGTCAAGATGTGGTCATGGTCAGTATGAGGGAGAGGTTAGCAAACAGGAATTTCAAAGCCTAAATCTGACTTCTAATGAGACGGACAAGTTTGCACTGGCGAAGAGGCAATTGGTGCAGTTTTGGACTCTGTATACAAAAACTTTATACCGTGGAAGGTCTTCCCTATGTTGTCACTGTCAGSAAAAATGACAGCAAACTGAAGGGAAATAGAAGGAGTTCCCTCTCCCCCCAAACGACAGCGTTTTGTCACTATTTTCCTATTACGAGGCTTAGCTAAACTGCTTTGGTTACTTATTTTTAGTACTGCAGCTTGGAGAACTGTAGTTGAGTGCCTTGTTCAAATGAATTAGGGGACTTACTAAATTTTACTCACTTATTTTTTATTAGCTTTGCTTATAAAGGTGATGCTGTATCTGTAGGGGTTTTATTTGTTTATTTTTAGAACTTGTCTACCCTTGGATTCCTGGACTAAAGCTGAAAGGCTGGGAGTTGTCCCTATYTTAGTCTGAAACTGCAATGCACTTCATAGTAATTGTGATTTAGAGCTTGCAGCGGCTTTGCATTGCAGCTGTAGTGTACAGATGAAAAATGCAGAGACTAACTCGTCCTCTTGCCTGTTTTCTGAAAAGGGCACCATTGGTAATTAAAGTTACCAATCCAAGTGACTAATGGGGAAGTGATACATTAAATAAATGTAGCACCAAAGCTAATAGSTTAAAATTTGTTGTTGAACTTCTGTTGAGAACTAAATGATTTCAATCTGGTTTTAGGTGTCTTTGTATCCAGTGTTGTTCTGGTCTTACAACAGCGAGCACTTTTCAAGTTCTACATGATCGCCTCGGCGTTTCTGCTGGCTGCATCTTCAGTGTTGGTGAATTACTATGCTGCTTTGCACATAAACTTCTACAGTGCCTACTACACAGCTGCATTTGGAATTCAGATCTTCCCACATAAAGGACCTTCGCTATGGATGGCACTTTCCATCCTCCAGCTTACCTTTGGAATTGGATATGTTACATTGCTAAACATGCAATCCATATACTCTCAACTCATCATCCTGGATATACTGATTCCTGTAATTGGCTTAGTTGTTGAATTACCTTTAAATGTCCGGCAAGTACTTGTTTTTATTTCAGGCCTAGTTCTGACACTAAATACCACAGCCATTTTAGTTATGAAAATCAAATGGTTCTATTATTCGGTACGATACGTTTTTCTGCTGGTGAGGCACATGTATCGTATTTATGGATTACAGCTATTGATGGAAGATACATGGAAAAGGATTCGGTTTCCAGCTGTACTCCGTGTCTTCTGGCTAACAAGACTTACAGCACAAGCTGTGGTACTAACATATGTTGTAAAGATGGCTGAAAATAACACAGAAGAAAAATTCTTCTTGATATCATGGGATAACTGTTGGGAACTGATTTGCAGCCTGATCATAAGTGGGTGTGACTCTACTTTAACTGTGTTGGGCATGAGTGCTGTCATTTCCTCTATAGCGCATTATTTGGGACTTGGTATCCTGGCCTTCATCGGATCAACCGATGAGGATGACAAAAGGCTTGGGTTTGTAGCACCCGTCTTGTTTTTCATTTTGGCTCTGCAGACTGGTTTAAGTGGACTGAAACCAGAGGAACGATTAGTTCGCCTGAGTCGAAACATGTGCCTTTTGTTGACCGCAGTCCTGCATTTTATCCAYGGAATGACAGACCCTGTCCTGATGTCTCTCAGTGCCTCCCAYGTGTCATCGTTTCGCAGACACTTTCCTGTACTGTTTGTCTCCGCTTGCCTTTTCATTCTTCCAGTTCTGCTCAGTTACATCCTCTGGCACCACTATGCACTAAATACTTGGCTTTTTGCAGTCACAGCATTCTGTGTAGAGCTTTGCCTAAAAGTAATAGTTTCTATCACTGTTTATATATTGTTTATGATTGATGGCTACTATAATGTGCTATGGGAAAAACTTGATGATTATGTTTATTATGTTCGCTCAACTGGCAATATTATTGAGTTCATATTTGGAGTAATCATGTTTGGAAATGGAGCTTACACGATGGTTTTTGAATCGGGTAGCAAGATTCGCGCTTGCATGATGTGTCTGCACGCGTACTTCAACATCTACCTGCAAGCCAAGAATGGCTGGAAGACTTTTATAAACCGCCGAACTGCTGTGAAGAAAATCAACTCACTTCCAGAGGTAAAAGGAGCTCGGTTACATGAAATCGATGATGTCTGTGCAATYTGCTACCACGAGTTCACCACCTCTGCGCGCATTACTCCATGCAACCATTATTTTCATGCACTTTGTCTTCGGAAATGGCTGTACATTCAGGACACATGCCCGATGTGCCATCAGAAAGTGTATATTGAGGACAAAGAAAATGCCAATATCTCTAACAACAACGGGTTTGTAGCACCAAATGAAAATCCTGTACGGGTTGCAGAAGAAGCTGCTGATGCTGAAAATGAATTAAATGAAGATAATGACAGTTCTGATAGTGATGAGGAAGATGGTGACTGTGTGGCACAGCACTTGAATGAAACTCTTAATGTTGACTCTAACTCTCTTGGTGATTAAGGTGTCCTTTACTAAGCCGTGAGGTATTTGTTTAAGATTGACTTCAGCAGAATAAAAGTATCACTTTGTAGTTATTGTACTTAAGCACAACAGCAGTATCTCAATGTTGAGTCTGTGAATGGTGGTTGTTTACTGTGGTGTGTGCTACTGTAAATATACCTCTTAATTTTTGCTGGTCTCTTTCATGACCACCTTAAAATTATGTACATTATTGTACATGGAATAAAATGTTTTCACATTTTTAAGATGGTTGGAAAAACACTCTTTAATTGATGTAGTGATAATGCTGTGCCAAAGACTGTATACCAGTAATCCCCAATCAATGTCTTCTGGATGCAAATTAAAAATACTGGTGAAAATAGACTGTTCAGCCGGTCAACTTGGAAATGAAAAGCCTGAGCCAAAGCAGCTTTACTTACAAATTCAGTATTAGCAGAGCTTTATCGCAAAAAAAAACTAGTGAATTGTGTTTTTACAAAATAAATAAAAATTTAGGTTGGTAGACTTAATGCTATAGCATTTGCGTATGTGGAACAAAAGGCGACACTGCTCAGCTTTCTGGTGAAGCAGCAAAGCGCATGCCATGGATGTGTCTGACCCTCCTGAACTGCCAGCAGTAGCTTGAAGTGCTTTACATGTGAATGCAGCAGCCTCATACTCCTCCTGTGCCTCCRCTGTTAACTGGAGTTACAGGCAGGGCTGGCCTTGAAGTCGATCCTGAATCTTGACAAAAGGGAAACAGGGCTGAGAAACTGCACAAATGCAGACCACCTTTTCAAAAGCAGCTTTAATCTTGTACCATTAAAAACCCCAAACCCACTACATACTGGCTTCCATTGATTAGAACTTGCAGGTATGATGATTTTTAAGTTTTTGCAATATATACTGAAGTTATGCTGAATAAATGTAACAAAAACAACTTTACATATTTGGAAAGAAGACTTTAATGGTGTTGTTGTATAGAGTATTGGCCAACTCAAGCGGGTCATCTTCTCTTACTGCYGCCATTATTTCCAGTACTTGACTAAAAAAGAAAGATCTGTATTAGAAGATTGAAACCCAGCATTTCAGAATGTACTTCAGATTGCTGCATGTGTATGTACAAATCATTAAGATTAACCTGGAACAAAAACCTATGCTAAGAGCAATAGGGCAGGGTGCTCAGATATGCAAATAGCTTCACTTTAAAGTCACTAACTGCCATTTCCTTTACACTGAACACTGGTTTGCTCACTGGTACAGATTCATCTTTGGTCTTTTGACTCTTGTTTGGAGGTAATTAAACAGCTTTCTGTTTTGAAGGAATTGTTATTTTGTGGATGTCTTTATCAATGATCTTAATTTTTCAAACTAAAACTCTAGCCTTTCAAGGCTAAAGCTGCACTATGAATAGACCGGTCTGTGGCAAAGCTTAAATTCCAGGTACAGCTTTTTCTGAGGACAGAGCTGCTGAAGTAACTTACTCCTACTTCCCCATTCTTTAGCTTACTTGTGATTAATGTGATCAGATATTTGCAGTAAACATTAAATGAGCAATTTCAAAAGGCCCAGGGCCTTGATACAAGCTGGGAAAAGGAGGCGAAAAATGGGATGGACATGATTAAAACCAAGCCACAACCTTTTCTTGGCACTTACTTTCTTGATTCTTGGAAAAAAAATATCCTGTACTCTTTTAGTTCTGTCATACTTTGGTTTTTCCAGTAGTAGAAAAGAACTTCACCATGAAGAGTAAGAAGCTTAAGCTTGGTGATAGGGTTTGGTGGCTTTTGGATCTTGCCTCTGAAGTGACACAATGGCTAAATTCCTTTTTGAGAAAGAGTAGGAAAAGGTGCTCTTAATAATTACTGTACTGCAAATATTTTCCTAGATGCAGAATTAGCCAAATGTCTTCTTGATTTAAGGGGATGTTCCAGAGGAGATGGGGTRAAATCAGGCCTACACAGAAATAAGTAACAACGATGAAAGAATTTCACYCTTGTAGACTCAGGGCTTACACATCTCTCCTCACTTGGATGCAGTGGAAGGCTGTATGTTACTGTAACGTGTATGTGAAACTGCTGAAAGACAAAAAAAGAAGCCTCTTGTGGCAATGTTTTTTTTAAAATAGCTTCCAAGGGGGGTAGTGCAGTTCTAAAAAGACACATATGAAGCACAAGTATCACCATCAAATTGAAAGGTGTCCATCACCACCAAAAAAACAAATGGAAAATTCCTCCWGCAATTAAACTGTGTTAAACAGTATATATATCCTAAACATAAAAAAMCACTTTGTGGACTGCAGAACTTCCCCCTCAGACAAGGTTTTGCTACTTGAGAAGTCAAAAAATACCAATTCTCAGTTACCAGTCTTCGTTGTTCTTGAGGTTTAAGAGGTTCTCAATTTACTACTGGTTATAATGAATGTTAGTGGGATGATAATTTTGAAATAAGGTTGAGCCAAACAAGATTTTGTTTTATAAAAGAAGGCAAAAGCCAAAGCATAGCATTTGTGTAATGATGTAGGACAGACCGTGCATATCCAGTTTTGGGGTTTCTGAAACATTTCTGTAAACTATAACTAAGGCAGCAGACAAAGATGCGGGGGTGTTATTAACACACAGGCTTGTTGAAACAGTAACAGTAGAGGCCCTTCACTTGTGATCAGAAAACTTTTCAGTTGATCTCTTGCCCCRGTCCAAAAATCATGGACTGACCCTAAAAAGCCTTAAGATACTGAAGGAACCCTTCCATGCTAATGTGTACACTTCACATTCATAATGMAAAAAAAAAAAAAAAATTCTAAGAGTATTACAAGTGACCTAATTGCATAAAATATAACTGAACACTAGGAGACGTCACCATGTAAGCTTAAACTCTGCTTTTAGCCTCAKCAGTGKTTTTCTAAGCCCYTTCATGTGTCAAAAGGCAGCAGAATTTCCTTAGTTCTCAAACTCATTTAGACACCTTGCTGAATACCTAGATATTTAGTACTACCCTGAGCAGTATTTCAAAATCTAGTGCCAAACAGGGTACTCTGAAAATTCAGGCATGTCATCTATCAGTGTTGCTTAATGCAGGAAACTAAACATTTCCACTACAACAATTATATATTTTCCTGCTTTTCAAACTTCTGTGAGGAAAAGAAGCAGAAAACAGTGTCTGTGCTTACCAATTCTGTCCATAAGCCCCTGGAGTATTCTTTCACTATTCTGTATCTTGGCTGCTGTCATTCATATCTAAATTTYACAGGATCAGATTCTTTGAAGCACAACAGCAGAAGGAAGAAATGTCTGTGACAAAATGCATGTTGTGGCAGAGCATGTCACAGGCCTGTGACAGGAGTAGTGTCACAGGCATTGCTGGTGCCTCGGCACTGTCCCACCTATAGGACTGTCCCCTGATCYCCAGGGCTGGATCAGTTTTAAAAATTACCTGAACAACTGAATTAAATGAATATTCAAATTACTTTTCAGGGTTTAACCTCTTCTATAATGTATCAAGTGAAAYGATAAAACCAGTACTGGTCTCTTTCAGGGAGCATTGTGCATCCAGAATTGCTGAAGTATGAAAATTAAGACTTCTAATTTTTTCCACAGCCTATAAAGCAAAACCTTACACAAGCTTCAGTGTATTTAGAATTAACTTCTGTTTACTACTTTACTAGTGAACTGKTTTTTTTTCTATTTTTTTCATGTGAGATTTGAAGTGTTTAACACACGAGTACAGTGATACACTTACATTATATGGCAGGGTTCATTTCTGTCCTTCAAGCAGTGCCCTTTTTCCCATTTCTTTTTTGTAGGAAATGTAGTTTTAATGTATTTTGATCCAGCATGAGTATTTTTCACTCCACACCAAGGCGCATCTGGTTTTATTAAAAAAAAGAAGGGTATGAAATTGTGTGAGAATAGCATGACCTGGCTTAATCAATTGCTTCTACAGACAAAAGTTCTTGCAATCTCTTTCTAGCAGTGACCTCCAATTCAAAAGAAAATTTAAGAGATCTCGGCAATTTAACATCTTCACAATCTTTGGATTTTTATACCATTACTTTCAGGATTTTACACTTGAAAAAATCAGCAATAATAATACATAACAGTAATTTCCTCTGACATGATAAAGACAGCCAGATACACTGCATGCATTCCACAGAAACTTCCTGTATAACAGGTCTGTACTTCATGTGCAAATAACTGTAAAGATTTAGCAGTTTGCCATTTTCCTTTCTCAGATTCAGAAATTAAAATAAATGTTGTATTTGTGACTGCCAGTTATTGATAACTGAACACGAAGAAAACATTACATCTGTAGTCAGCCCATTAAAATGACTGCTCAGTGGGCTGACAGGAATTCAAGCATTCTTCCACCTACTCCATTTAAAGAGTTATTTCCAAATGCCATTACTGCTGCCAGTGGCAAACTCATAGCCATTGCCCTGTGCTTGGCAAATCTCCAGCAAGCTATATTTTAAATATACTCAAGCAGGATTCTAGTACATTAAAAATCCAGGCTTGTCAATTTGTCCTTTTCGTCTTCCCCTGCAATGTCAAGAACTGACACTGCAGCTTATTCCTTCCACAGAAGGCTGAAAAGGACTATTTCTCTAAACTGCTTTCTCAAGGGGAGAAAACAGCCAGTCCTTTTCCTGTTCTGAACTCTCTGAGTCTTGATTCTGCTTTATGATTGCTGCACCAGCATATCTCATTGTCCATTGTCACAAACTGACCAAGACAGAAAATCTTACCAGTCTCTATCATTAATCGTTCACTAGGAATTGATTTCAGTGTTTCCAAGTTGGCTTCTGTTTTCAGTGAACTAGAAAATAAGAGTTTGTTTGGTTAAAAAAATCCCATAAAAAGTGTATAAAAATAATTACTGTGCCTGTTAAAGTGTTTTGTAGCAAAGACAGATTCCTAAATAATTTTGTTAATAAAATTTGCTTCATTTTTTAACAATATTACGTGTAAATTAAAACTTTGCTGAAAACAGCAAACTCAGAATTACTGTGAGAAGCCACCTCACACCAGTGCGCTGCAGAACCCCTCTCTAGCTGCCCTTGCTTGCCTGATGACAGCCTCTGTGCTTTGCAAAGTGGTGCTGGCTGGCATTTGGC